TTCTTTTCCGCTGTGAACTTCTTGAATCGCCTTGACGATGTTCGGATACGCACCGCAACGGCACAGATTTCCGCTCATTCGTTCGCGGATTTCGTCGTCGGAAAGTTTGATATTTTTCGCATTTGTGCGAATGTTGGTCGAAACGTAACTGGCTTCGCCGTTTTTTGCTTCGGTCATCAGCGCAACTGCCGAACAAATCTGTCCGGGCGTGCAGTAACCGCATTGAAATCCGTCGTGTTTGATGAACGATGTCTGAATCGGATGCAGTTCGTTTCCGTTTGCCAAACCTTCGATCGTCGTTACGGATTTTCCTTCGCATTGCGCCGTCAGCGTCAGGCAAGATAAAACTCTGCGACCGTCAACGATGACCGTGCAAGCCCCGCATTGACCGTGATCGCAGCCTTTTTTCGAACCTGTCAGCGCGAGTTTTTCGCGCAGAGCGTCGAGCAAAGTCATGCGTGAATCGAGCGACAACGATTTTTCCACGCCGTTGATCTTTAGTTTCACGGCGACCGCATTTTCTTCTGCAATCGGCGCAAACATCGCGTCTTCGGGCGTTTCCCAACGCGCAAAAACTTCCTGCTGTTGTAATAAATTAATGGCGAATGCGCCTAAACCCATCGCCGCCGCTTGTCCCAAAAATTTACGCCGCGCTTCGCCGAGTTCGCCGAGTTCGGGCATTTCGTTCAATAAAGCCTGTTCGTCTTCCGTTAATTGGATTTCATCCAAACATTCGAATTCTTCAGCCATTTAAGACCTCCTTGTTGTTGTATTTTAATTATTGCAAACTGAAGCGAGAGAGTAAATTCTTTTTCTTTGAAAGGTAAAAATAATCTTTCAAACATTTGATTTATTGCACTAAATATAAGAATGATTGCAGTTTTGCCTTGATGCCGAATGTGAAAATCAAGATCAACCGCAAAAGTTTATCGGATGGAAAAAAGTTGTTGCTTTCCCTCTGAAAATGCCTGTAAAATAAAAGATGTCGAACGCTTCTGCTTTTTGACCAGATTCCTGCCGCAATCATTTCCGGATTAATTTCAAAATGTCTATATCACAACGCCAACATATCAGATTTTCGCTCGATATTCCCGCTGTTCGTTACACCAAATTCGGGGAAAGAATCGAAACCGTCCTCCAACAGATCAGCATCGGCGGCTGTCTTGCCGAATGGGATGAAAACATTTTTACGGGAGAAGAGTTTCGGCTTGAAATCCAGCTTCCCAACAAAAACTGGCTTCCGCTCAACTGCAAAGCACTTTATCGCTTTGAAAATAACGGAATCGGTGCGCGTTTTCTCGACATTACGAAATTC